CATGAGGTATGAAAACCCTAACCAGGAGTCTGGGTCATATAGGTCCCATTAGGCTCCCTGGTTGGAGAGCTCGGGATCAGTGTAATCAATGGTTAGAAACACGGAGTGATATGGTTGGGAGTCGTAAACAGTGGCGATAGTGCATCTGCNATCTGCTTACTTTTTTGCAACATTAGTTCACAGAAATTCTCAATTTTCCCTTCGATTACACTTTCAACATTTCCCATTTTTCTCCTACTCTTCATTCAAATGGGCAGCCAAAAGACAGCAACCAAAACCGGCGCACGAAGGTGCATGTTTCATGGTTGTACAAACTGAAACTGAACGAAAACTCATCTATCAGCGAACATCAATGGATATCTCTGTTTGGCGGTGGTGGTGGTTGGAGTGAGTCGAAGATCTGAAGTCCTCGGGAGAAAGCAAATAATAAGATTGGTTTCGATAACAATATGAGCTTCTTTTGAACTGATAACTCATTCAGGCACATTTCATGCGCGAATATGGCTGCATTTGGATGCATACATGGATAACGGGGATGAGAGTTTGGGAGACAGAAATAATAATAATAATATCTATAGCATTGCCAAGTCTGTCTGCGTTCTGCCAGTGTTGTTTTTCTCGAGCAAAGCGTTAACTCAAACACGACGGTAGAGAGAGAGAGAGAGAATGTGTGAGTGATGGGGGTGCGGGATGCGGGTTGGGTGGGGAATGGTGGTTTTTGTAAATGAACTTGGTGGACGAGACGTTTGACGAAGAACAAAACAATATAAGCGATAGTGAAAAGAGAATAACATAAACATCGAGTGTTTGAACTCGGAACAGCAGGAACAACAGAGTGTGGAGTTTAGTTATAGCCACTTCAAGTTGAACATGTGAGAGTTATCATGATCTCGGTCACCACTATTACAGTGGCATTTGGTGACTCGATCGATAGCATCACAATAGTTCAGAGGGGGGTCGAGGGTAGTAAAATAGTTGATTGAGTTAAGAGCAAAACAACTATATGTGGGGCATGTATGCTTGTGCTATGTGCGCGCGCGTGTACGAAGCGGGATGGCGTAATCAAACGTATGATCAGGAGAGATTCACACGCGCTCCGAGCGCTGCACAAAACACAGAAAAGGATGTACGTGTCTGGGGAAGTGATCTTGGGTTAGTAGCAAAGCAACTGCGGTTATTAGATTCACAAGAAACCTATACTTTATTGAGTAAAGCAAATAAATTGTAATAGCGCATGAAAATGACAGAAAAACATACTAGGATGCGAACCTGAACTGCTGAAGATATTTGTCTAAGGGCAGAGAATAGTTGGAGTCTAGGGGCAGGTTCAAGACGATTGCATTGAACGCGGGCCTGATGGAGATTATTATAGTCTAGAATTTGGTTAATGACTACCTGGTGGCTTGTATGAGGCAGGATAAATTGGAGTTGACAGCGAACCGAAGGTTTTCATACGTAAATGGGCGAAGAAACCTTTGGTCATTAGGCTGACATGCAAGCGGGGACGGTGAGAAATGGGGGGAACTTTTTCATACTTTATGACAACACATCTTGAGTGACACAAAGAAAGGCAGGCATCGATTTGGAAAGGATGGCAACCAAGTCAAAGAGGCGGTACATCACAGCTTGTCAGTGGGATTCATTCAATTGCTACATAAGTAGTAGATAGCCTGTGAAATCGCATGATAGTCCGCTTTAAGGCTATTTAGTGTGGAACAAGAAAACAGATGGACAGACAGACAGACAGGCAGAAGTAGGGACTGCTTGCGAGAATGGGCTGTACAGACAAAACTTCATACATTGATTTGTAACTTGGTTTCTCGTTATGTGGTTGCGGCTGATTTGGTTGCTTTATTTTAAATTACAGAAAGTGTAGGGGTAACATGAGCAGGGTGTATACCGGAGATCTTGTACAAACACTGGGTTTTGTATGTATATGTGTTTGTGTTTTGTACCACTGCTAGCTCACGGTCCTTCCTGTAGAGATATGTGGTCATTCGGGATAGGTACCATAGTGCGTGTGTGCTTGTGAAAGCCTATGCTTGTGAGTACAGTTGCTAGGGTTGTTAAATGCATTTAAGAGAAGAGCAAACACATGTCAAGTCAACATCATACAGATAAAATGGCCCGCTTTGGACTGTTGTATATGTATATATGCATAAGAAGAAAAACCAGACGAAGCAACGAAGTTGAACTGCAGGTTTAAATTGTTTTCGTTGGGTGATGGGAATCAGGCAGGTTCTTAATGGGCCGAATAAGAGATGGGCTGCTGTAACACTGTTTAACCATGTCACAGAATCAAAAAATTGGAATAAAGAAAGCGGGACATGTATTAGTTTGCGCTCATCCCCGAGTTTCGTCCAGTATTTTAAAGCGGTGATTGGTTGGCTTTAAATGTGGCTATAATTGTGTTGAGTTAGAACCAAGGGGTCTGCAACTGGACCCCTTCAAGAGGGATGAACACACTCGTGTTGGACAAACGGTTGTCTGTGTAATTCAAGATGTGCAAAACGACAGCTTGGACAAAATGGACCTCAGTTTGCCATTGAGGGAAGGTGTGGGTAAAAGTGATGAGAACCGACCGATCGATCTAGCTGTGTTGGATAATTATCTTTTACCGTATCGTTTATTCCATTTCGTTCGGCTTCTGGCTTCAAGACATAATGACTGGAGAATTCGGTGACATGCCCGGTGTTGGTGGTGACATAGATGAAGCCATACGTGATGTGCCTCCGCGCAGGGTCGTAGTTGTACGGACTCGATTGCGAACAACGCGGAGGGTAATCAGTTTCCGGTGTCTGTTTCTTTCACCTAGGGCCACCAATGAGCGTTTGTCGCGGCTGATTTTCACTTGTAAGATCTCAATGTTTGAGGTAAACCAACATATTTGATTACCATCACGCAGACGCCAGACACGAATAGAACCATCCCAGCTGCCGGATACCACGATTTCACTATCGTAGGAGATATCCACACTCAGGACCTGAAAACAAGGGTTTATAAGGAGGAAAGAATGAGTTCCCGAATGCACTGTCTGACGTAATCCACAGGAGAACAAATTTTGTTTGTTAGTTTCTGAGTTCATTGAACATGTTTTAAGATAGATATAAAAAGAGACTAGCAGAAAAATTAGTTCATGTTGCCAGGATTTTGATTGCTCATTCTAGAATGGAGTGTTGTTAATTTCCCCGTGAATAAGAGATTAACAAAGTCCGAACAATTGCTAAGAGTAAGTACCTAAATCAAATGTCTCAGTGCAGTACCTTATCTGTCTATAAGTTAGCTACACATCCTTTCAGTGGAAAGCCTGGGGATCAACGTGTAGATAAACCGTATAATTGATAAGAATCGTAATGTTCTCTACCTCTTCATAGTAATCCTTCACTGGTACCATAAGAAATGACTTATCATGGAATACGGCTAATGGCATTGCCTACAGGAGTAGAAAACTCACTTCTCCACCCCTGCTTAGTATATCGCGATAGAGTTCAAAGTACAATACAAATGAAGTGCCACGTGAAAGTAGCTTCTAAGATTCAGTTCAGTGAGGAATTATCAGAAGTTCGCCATACAGCATAAACAATGCCAGAGTCTTTTTATAATGACGGAAATTCAACGACCTTAAAGTTACAGAAATATCCGTTTCAGCTGATGACTGTCTTAACTTACGGTACAGCGTGACCCAGTCACTAATTTGATTACAATCAACTAATCACACTCATGCAAGCGATTTCGCAGTACCCAATTCACACATGTGTCCTCTACATTTTGACAAGGATAAAAACTTACATCGTCTGCATGACCTTCCAATGTGTGTAACAGGCGTTCGTCAGGCATTGTCCAAACTCGGACCAACTGATCCTGGGCACCAGTGACAAGGTAATGTCTGTCATGTGACAGTTTAACACAATGAACCGTGCCCGAATGTGGCGGGAGCACAGTTGGATTGCCGCCTTCCAGTGTGGCACTGATCTGGATCGTTCGGATCACCTGACCGGTATGCAAATTCCAAACAAGCAGCTCACCCTTTCGGGTACCTTCAGTTGGGATGGGAAACATGACAAGCGTATGATGAGGGTTATCAGTGAAAAATGAAGCCATCTGAGGGAATGATTTGAAACCCATGCGAATTATTGATAAGACATGATATACATGATGCAATATGTATAAGATATATAGCCATGATTCATGCAACCGGCTGGAACAGGCAAGTCACAATTGAAAATATACTAATCAACTATCAAAATATAATTGTTTGATGAAACAGCTGATTTGGGATGTTCTGAACAGTTTTCATCACCCATTTGACCTGACGTCCCGGTTACCTTAAATGTAATCCTTTTAAGTTGATCTAAAATCTCTCTTACTAGTTATAGTTTTTCATCGCTGTATCTGCAGGCAATAGTTTTTTTATCACACGAAAGTGAATACAGTAAAAGGGTTAACCCCATGATCCGACGAAATACTGTGAGTGGGGAGGTATGGGGAACATTCAAGCTAGAACCAGCTTGTTGATTATGCGTTTGAAAACACGGATGTTGTACGTTGAAGGGAAGACCAAAAAGAAGAGTTTTACACAGTTGTGTTGTTCTTGGGGAAAAGATGACTGAAAATTAGAAATGCCACACCTGGGGATAGTCACTTGAAATGCGTGGCTTGTGCGCGGGATCTACGAGGAAGAACAAGTGGGAGAGGGAAAGATGAGGAAACTTCATCAGAGCAAAATCCAAAGTAGTATCGATAGAACAAGGATAAAGAAGCGACTGCCCGAAGGTGAGCTAGTGACTGCAAATTGGATGTTTGGGATAAGTCGTTGATGAGACGGATGGCCTTACGTTGAACCCGATCAAGAAGAGATAGTGAGGTAAACGAAGCTCCACCCCACACATGACTGTAGTATTCAAGTTTAGGGCGAATCTGAGCTTTGTAAATTGAGAGGAGGTGAATGGGGGTGAAGAAAAGTCTGGCGTGGAAGAGGAAACCAACTTTGCGTGCACCGTGGGAAACAAGTAGATAAATATAAGGTAACCACGAAAGAGAAGAATATAAAAAAGACCCAATAGGTTGCATGATTCTGTAGAACGGAGAGTGTTCGAGTTAAAATTCCAGGAAGGGGAGAAAGATGTGTTTAAGAGAAGGGACATAAGGGAAGTTTTACTGGCATTGAACAGAACACGATTGCTACACCCCCAAGCAGAGATAAGGCCCAGATCAGAATTTAGGGAGAAACTAAAAGAGAAGCGGTCATCACTAATGCCCGAGTTAACGATGCGCGAAGAGGAATATGACAGAGAAGAGTGTGGAACAGCGTCACCAACAAAGGCGTGAATAGGGTTTGAAGTTGAAGAAAAAAGGTCATCAGTAAACATCAGAAAAAGGGAAGGGGGAAGTACAGAACCTTGGGGAACACCAGCGTTCACAGGCACAGAACGAGACACAGTTCCATCTACTCTGACGGAGATGCTGCGGTTCTTGAGGTAGCTTGCTGTACAGGACACAAGTTCTGAAGGAAAGCCAAACTTGGGCAGTTTAGCCAGCAAACTGGCGTGCCGGGCACGATCGAAAGCTTTCGATATAACCAATGATACCGCATGGATTTCCCCGTGGTTGTCGAGTGCCGCTGACCATGTATGCGAAATGGGCCCCAGAAGATCACCGGTAGATCGATGGGATCGGAAACCGTACTGGCGGTCGCTAAGCATATTGTTCTACTCCAGGTGGTGGCGGAGTTGATCAGCACCAACTGATTCCATAACCTTCGAAATGACTCGTGTGAGAGAGATGGGGCGGTAGTTGTTTGGGTCAGAGTGTTCGCCGCGTTTGGGGATTAGAAATATTTCGGATGTTTTCCATGGGATTGGGAATATCTCGGAATTTAGAGACAGACGGCATAAGCGACGTGGGAGGGGAGCCAGTTCTGGGGCGCACATTTTGAGGACAATGGAAGGAATCCCATCGGGTCCAGGTGGTTTGTGTGGCTTCAGCGACAAACGGATCTGACGTATTTTTTTGGTGGAAATGAGCGGTGTGAAAAGATGGTTTGCTATAGGATGTGTGCAGGGTTGGATGGATGGTTCGAAAAGGGTAGAGTTGGAAGCAAAATGGAAAGCAAACACTTCTGCTTTTTCCAACGGGTCAGATGCTAAGTCACCGGATGGCTTCACAATGGGTGGAAAGTTGGTGGAACAGAAGTTACGAGAGACTGCCTTAGCGAGTGACCAGAACGTCCGGCTTCCGGAAGGAGCGGTCGCCAATTGTGCTGCTTTGTGCTCAACAAAGTGCCCTATAGCTTTCTGTATCATGGTTGTACATTTGTTACGCACTAACAAGAACAATCGGCGGAAGCTAGGGAAAGGTGACCGACGCCAGCGGGGGAACGCTGATTTCCTTTTACGAACAGTGCGACAACAGGCGTGGTTGAACCGTTCTGGAGAAAGAGGCTTGCCGGGTTTAGTGAAATGAGGAATAAATAGATACATGCCTTGCAAAAAAACTTTGGAGAAATTCAAAGTGGAGATGGAGACATCGGTGGAAAAGCAACATTCCTTCCAGGGGTAGGAAGCCAAAAAGTGACGAAAGCTGCACTAATCAGCGAAACCATATGGCCAAAATGTGCGTCTAGAAATGGGAGGAACATTAAAACGAATAATTTGGGTAGAGAATGAAATAAGATAATGGCCCGATTAGCCTAGGGGAGAAATAGCAGCAACATTTGAAAATAATTGTGGGCTGGGTGTGAGGACAAGATCAAGCGTGGGAGCGTGGTCGCCAGCACGGTCAGGGATACGGGTCGAGCAATCAACCAGTTGGTGGAGGCTGTTCAATAGGGCAAATGATTCTGCTTTACGTCAAAGGAGCGATGTCCCTGAAGAGTGTGACAGCCAATCCCTGGTATGGACATTAAAATCGCCCAAATTGTGAACTGTGTTGGGGTCTGTTTCAACAATGTTATCTATGTATGCCGATAAAACATCAAAGAGTGAAGGGTCCATAATATTTGGGGAACGGTACACAGTGCAGAAGTAGTGATTGAAAGAAGCGAACCGAAGTTTCCGCCACAGAGTCTTGAACTCGCGGTTGGTGAAATCTAAGTGGGAGAACGGAGTAGAAGCAATTGAATGATGGATGAAAGCACAAGCACCAGCTTTGGGAATGAACGAAGTGTAAAGGTGATAATTGGGAAAATGAAGATGCGTGGTGTCTGTAGAAGCGGAGAGTTGTGTTTCGGATACAAATAGTGCAGGAGGGGAATTGGACTGAAGAAATTGATGTACAGAATCAATATTATGGTTCAAGCCGCGAATGTTAGTGAGTGAGATTATCGATTGAGAGTGCGCTTGAGAATTGTTCCTGTTTGCTGTATTATTCATGTTGAGATGAGAGAGTAACCGGCAACCTAGCCCTATAACTTGGTGTAACGAACCACATAATGCCCCGATTGCTAGGCGGTGGTACTAACCCGGCCGATGGAAGAACCGTTTACCATCGTGAATTATGATTGGTATAATTGATCTAATTCTACTGAAAATGGGGGCTTTATTTCTCGTGGAAACAACATTTTTCACCTGTAGAAAGACGATTCGGTCGAGGATGTGGAATAATACTGAGTTATAGGAAATACGTTGCTTCTGGGCAATAACGCATGCTGTAAATTTACTTCACAATAAAGTCTATGGGTCAAAATTATTTGTGATTTCGAGAAGTTTACCGCGAACGTGAAACATATTGCTGCATGGATTACTGTTTCAGTTAGTGACAAAGCTCAATGAAAGGTTCTCTTAGAAACGTACCAGTCACGGCCTGATCGTCTCCAATAATCTCAGTCGCATCAACTTCCGCATCGAATTGAACAATTTGTGGTTGTGCTGGTCCCTGAAACAAAAATCCATAGTGTATAAATGAACAAAGAATTCATGCAAAATAAGTCTAAATCGGTCAAACAGGGTTATTTTGTCTCCCTTGCAAACTCACTACCGTCTCCGGCATGAGATTGTGAAAATCATCACTGTTGACCGGTGTAACAGGTACGAAACAAGCACGCACTACGCCGATCACCGGTTCTCTCTCACACACACTTTTCCGAATAAGCTGTAGATAAAAACGAGTGGCGTTTGCACACACGCGTTGGTGGGAACATTTCTACCATGCCCACAGGTCACATCGTTCCGTGAGAATCACACCGGTTTTGTGAACTACAGTTCACATGGATATGAGAACGGTTCAGTGGAGATCACCACCATTGTTTACCGTGCTGCTGCGGGCGCACGTGATTAGATCACTGTTGGTTGACACTGGCCCTCAGGATCTCACGGAGGGTAGAGGTCATTTGAAGCTCCACATAGAAGGCTTTCCCTTTGTGGGTTGTGTGTGCCGCGGCAGACTATGCTGAGCGAATTCACTCCACTGGTTTCAGTCTGAATCCGACACCGGGAGCACTCAATAAACTTGCTTGTACTTATCATTCAGAATGCAGTGGTGCCACACATTCTAGATTGTAATTGAGATCATGGTAAGTATTAGTGAAACTCTTCTGTTTATTTGAGCACGCGTTCAGTGCATCTCTCGGATCCAACTCACTTACCCGATAGTGAGCGGCCAGATCAAACACCATGTAACAGGCATGATCGTCTGTCGGGTTCTGGAATCCGGCAACCACTAGTCGATCGTCCATGGAAATATTCAAATAGGTGACCGAATCTTTAACCAGTGGATTCATTGGATGATAAGGGATCTCGTGTTCGGTCTGATTGGAAGTCAAATTCCACACAAGGATAGACGGGCCAGTCGGAGTGGTACGTGCCACAATCACGTGCTCACTGGTTCGCGTTAAACAAGTGGCCGTGCACATCACCTCCACTGGCATTTCAAGTTGACGTCCAGAAGCAAAATCCCATAGCTTTTGGACACGGTAATTTGTGTTACGAAGAGAGCGATGGAATTAGGGATTGGGAGAGGGGAACAGAAACATAAGAACAATTATTCCATTCTCATAAAAGTTTCCTATGTGTACTGTATTAAACCACAAATGATGCCAAATTGTTTTCCATTAAACCCCAACGCATACCCGAGTACTGTTATTTTGAATCATTTACTTAGAATAAATCAAACTAAAATAACTCCCTTAGGAGCGAAGCAGCCGAATCCTAACCTTACATCACCAAACTTGATTATAAATTCAAAATGTCCGTGGCACTCATCCGCGTTGTGAACATATGCACAGTTGCGGTTCCGACCAAAATAAATATCAGCTTGAGTGCAATGAGAACAAGGGTAGACTCCGGAGTCACTCTGGGGGCTCATTATGGTAGTATAGAAAACTGTCCGTAGGTGAACAATTGGTTGTGGGTTCATGCTCACCGGATGGGATACGCATCACTATTGATAAGATTATTTGAAGAGCACGAGAGCGGAACATTCACTTCCTAAGCGATTCTATCTTGTTCTCGTATAAGGAGCTGTGGAGACTGTTTGGGTTGCTATCCCCACGACTGCTGCCCGTTCGCTGGTTAGTATTCTGAAATTTCATATTGATGCTACATGTTACAATGAGCCGAAGCATTTTAATCACTTTTTAGACAACTGCAACAATTTGATATTGCGTTACTTTCTTTTTATTTATGGTTTGCACAAACGCAGTCACTTTGTAGGCCGGAATTGTCCAAACAAATGTTAACTGGGGAAAGGGGAAGTTGGGCGTTAATGAGGGGGTTTGAGCTCACAACCTCCGGGTCATTGCCAAGCAGCTGACTATCGCTAATTATCTAATCGGTAACTAAGACAACCACAAACAAATTAGGCGTAATAAGTGGCCAGTTTCAAAAATGAACGAATCTAGTTCAACAAAGTGAAAGAATCAAACAAACCACGTGAGTTTATTTAAAATTCACGAAAGCAGGCAAGACGTTTAAACTGCATTTCACTTCCATATTTGATTTGAGTTCGTACGTGGTTATTGGGAAAACCGGTCATACTTTAAATATCTTGGCAAAGACAAAAACCAGTTTGAGTACATAATTCTCCGTATTAGAACCCACAGGTTTGTGCATCATAGTGATTCCAATCGATAATCACTAAGATGTATCCTTGACCCCCTAACCACCGCGAGCTGTGACCGCTTCATAGATGATTGATCAAGCAACCTATAGATGATTGTCAGAAACCAGACTACGAGTTTGAACTTGAATGTGATTTTTGAACCATCAAACTGCAGTCCAACAAGAGTTTTGGTTTCATCTCCGTTTTTCACCATGGTCGTTAGAACTAACTGAACATTCGTACTAGTGATTTTTGACACACTCAGGTCACGTGAATCGACGAGGGAGGGAGGAACAAACTGAATGTCATTCCAGTGAAGTTTGAAAACTTTGTCTCTTCCGATGTGATTTAATGCGAACCTATTTCCGAGTCCTACCCTGTACAAACGACGTTTGACCTGATCATGTGCTTGCGAGGGAGAAGTCATCGTGATTCCGTAAAAATGGAGACGAAATGACATTAACGATAATGAAGAACTGCTTGATCGGTGTTTCAGCTTGGAAGTTGTTGAACTAGGGGGAGGAAAACAGGGCGGGTAAGTGACTGGATTTCATATGTCAGAAGAGTGGGACTTGGCACTGGTATACTATATTCCAAATGACTAACTGATTTCGACATGTGGTCAATTTTAAGGACGCGTTCTATCTGCTATATAAGTACGAACTAAGAGGTTGGGTTGGTGCTGAGAAAATGGACAGTAAGAATGCCGCCGTATTAGCAACACCGGGTGAATTATCTTCATGCGTGCATAGATGCATTGACAGAGCCCGATTAGGTTCGAGATACTTGCTCCAATGGAGTCAAATAAACCATCCTCATCGATCGATACACCCAACTATATAACCTCTCTCAGCTTCCTCAGGTTAACATAAAATCAAGTATGCAGCTATCAAACTAGGATGTACATATGCTTGTACATACAAGAATTATGTAAAATAGGTTACTCTTTTATCGTTATCTTATTTCATTCGCTTCGTTTCGTTTATTCAAGGAATGTGACCGCCTTCCTGAGTACGTTTTACAAATTTTGTTGGTCAGATATTTAATTCGTTATGAAAATCCTTTAACCTATTTTTCCCTACCTATGCACTGGTACATAAACCTCATGTTATCACAATTATCCGAGGTATATCAGATATTCACTTTAGGGAAACGATGATAAATCAAAGTTTGTCCCGGTCCCCGGATAAAAACACGCTGGTGAAACGCTTCACTCACTTGCAGTCGTTTCACCTTAATCGTGTTCAGATCGACCACAGCATCGCCAACATCATCCACAACTTGTGTGACCAGAACCGTGTCTTCACAGGCCAAATGCAAATCTGTGCATCCGAGTTCCATACCGTCCATGACCTTGAACACCTCTCCAGACTGCATATTAAATAGAGATAATAGGCGCTTAAATGAACACAACAGTTGAAAGAAGGCATGCGTTTATTCGAATGGGACTGGATTTAAAACAAAGTTCGGTGGGCAAAGCCAGTTGTTTTAAGCTGCAATCATAGAGTGATCATCATAATTATATGTGGGTTATATGTGCTGTTCAACCTTGTTTTGAACGCATCAACCTATTACATATGGTCTGGATCAACAAAATGAATTACGAGAGATCGGTTCAGTTATGAACACGAATTCGTCTTGCACCTAATTGTCAGTTTATTTATTATTGCCGTACGTTTGCTGAAAGACAGGATTCTGAACGAGACTAATGGTGTCCGTCCGTGAATGAAGAAAACGTTTAGTAACCTCTATCTAATGGACCGGAACCATGTTCCTCAATGCATGACCTCAAAAAGATGATCCACGGTAAATTTGGCTATGGCAGACTGGTTTACAATTGTTACATGAACCATTTTGCTAATTGGATTCACACCCAATAACCGACAGTTCTTGTTGCTGCATAACATAACTGGAGACGTGAAAGCATGGTGTCCGATGGCGGCACGTTCATATCGCAGAATAAATGGGTTTTGAGGGAATAGCAGTCATAAGTGACTAGTTAATATTGTGCTAAGCCCGTTAGACTAAATTTCATTCCGTAATTTTTGCATTTTGTTTGATAGCTACAAAACTTCATCCTCGAAGTAGTGGCTACCATTTTAAACATTGCCATCATTATCATCATCGAGTGAACAGACATCAAGACTACATCTGAAGAGCACCTGATGCAGGTGCGCACTGGAATCAACACATAACTAATCGATCACCTCAATCTAAATAGCTAATTTTTCAGGGGTTTTTTAACTGTAATCAGGCTTAATTCTAGAATGTGAAACTGTTTTGTAAATCAATAACAGAAAAAGGTGAAAAGTGTCAAATTACTGAGAGTCACGAGCAATCGTACCAAGAAGGTCTTCAGTTACAGAACATGTGGCTATACCACTCGGATTCACACAATAAGGTAGAACCAAACTCACTTGAGCATCCCAAACTTTGGGTGGTCCCATACTGGATCCGGTAACAAAGTATTTGCTGTTCTTTGTTATCAGCACACAGTCCACCTTCAAGCCCTCCAGACTGTAGATATTTTGGTCTGTTGTGAGAAGCGGTGGGTCTATGTGAACGGCAGTACCCTCCATTCTGCATAGGTGGAAGAAATTTCAGAGGGCGGCGGGAAGATAAACAGACAAGTAGGTTAAAATTTATATGGAGTGTAACGTTGATGAGGCATTCCTGGAAATGTCTCCGAATATTTTCGACACAATTAACATGCATAGTGCAGCACTCACCACTGTGGGTACTGCATTGTGTGCTAATGGTCAGTTTTCACGGATATTGTGAAACTTGGTTCATTTCAAAGACGCGTTTTTACATCATCGATCGATCGACTGATCGATCAACAACTAGTATGTTGGTTCCTATATGAATACTGTGAAATCAAGAGACACAATAAACTTAAACTGTCTGTGAGCATTGCTCCATTGGCGTTTCCAGCGTTCCGAATGAAACAGAATTTACTAGAGCTCTTTTTTCCGGTTCTTTCTGATGGCATCAGCTAGTTGGTGAATGTGGAATGAAGATTTGGGCGTGATATTTCTTATGCACGGTGATCCCACGTTTTCAAAAAATGTATTCTCATAGTTGCACCGAAGACCATTTGTTGAACAATCCAATAAATCAACACGCAGACAGATACATTTGTGATCTCCATAGACAATGCTGAGATTGCTGAATGGTAGATACCACCCGCTTGAAGTCTCATGAAAGCTAGATTGGCTTTAATTTTTCATTTGTTATTCAACAGCTTTTGATCGGTTGTGGATAGTTAGTTGAGTGTACGTTGCATATCCATTAAGCGGATGTGAAAAAATTAGTTTTATATTATATTGCCTGACACTAGGACTTACTGTGGTGTGAGATCCAGTGGTTGTGATGCAGCATAGATGGTCTTGATCATGCGTGAGCCAGAGACATCCTGAAAACAAGAACCATGGACAAAATCCGTTAGGACTGGGATCAAAGTAGTTTTGTGTGTAAAATAAGTAGTGTTGGAAGTGTGTACCACTTGTTTTATTAACAGTTCGATAAGTCAAGTCAGTTTCTAACTATACGATTTCCGTTTTCATTATTCTTTGTTTCACGCAAGCGAAAATAACCGCATTGTTTTTCAAACTGAGCATTCCACAACATCGATTGCACAACATTAAACAGCTAACATTGAAGTAATGCAAAGCTGCTGTATCAACTCTTTATCCTTGACGGGTGTCAGTGACCTTTCATGCGCCCTTTTTGCATGATTTGAAAATTTCAACTTTACGGAATGTGCATTACTCAGTCGTTTATTTTTCCATACGATACATGCAAATCCACTGCCTAAGAATTTTTTAA